AAAACAGCTGATTTCATTCTAGTTTTGGGACCAAGGTAAAAATGAAGGCAATAGTTATACAAATGAACGAGAGCGATATAGTACACTCCGAAATGACAAGGGCAAGGCAAGTAAGTGGCGGAAACTCAGGTACGACACGGACGCCGCTATTCGCAATGCCCCTCTCTCAATGAGGAAGAAAGTTACGAGGACTACCCGCGACTGCCGCGCAACTCTAAACACCGCATATGTGGCGGAGTACGGTAATTCCCCAGTTTCCCCAACTCCAATGCTAGCACTAAGCCACAATTAATAGAGCAGTATCAAGAGTACCTGCGCGAGCCTTCTTCTTCGGAGGTTCACGTCCTTGTGCAGGCACACTGGGATTCTTGACCGCACTCGAGTTTTCTGTAAATTTGTCGAAAATAGTTTAGTGAAGTCAGCGAGACAGACTCGCGAAAACTCGGACAGAAGGTATAGCAATCTATCACCTTGCCAGGATGGATAAAGAAACGATCGAGGCATGCCCGAGAGGCTCGATGCAGGTGATGCTTTCGTCTTTACCATGAGCTGAGCTGGAGCTCCTACATCACAACTTATTGCACCTCTGTCACCTGACCAGAAGCTTTCTGGTAAGCTTAAACTAGGTCAATGTAGACAACACACCTTTTGCTTCAACGCACTTCTCTACCTACCTGGACGAATATGGCCTAGATAACCAGTAAGCTCACAAGAGAAGCTAGGATAGCTTCGAATACGAAAGCAGAAGCAAGTATTACTTCACAACAGGTTGGAGAACAGTACGGTCAATGCTAAAATGAAGGGGCGAGGATTGAAAAACAGCACTCACCAGCATTGTTTTCTTTGTTATCTATTGAGCGATCCTGAGTCGTTGAATCAGGTAGTGGGTTCGAATGTGAGTTCGACATTTCCTAAAAGCATTGTTTATATCGAACTCAAGAAGAATTTAGAAAACATGTTATCGTTTTCAACGATCATGAAAACTATTCAATGTGCCTCATAGAAATCTTTATATTACATGACATAACAGATTACACGCAAACAAACAACGAAACACCTAAATAAACAAACAAACAAGAAGTACAAGAGTTTGTCAACAAAATTCTATTCGTTTCACAACCGTGTCAGTCACACGGCTCTTCCTTTTTCACACTGAATACATCTTCACTAAGATTCATGTTGAATGCTGGGTTACCGGGATCAGGGACGTTGCCCGTCTATAAATGACGATTTATTCTACCAGTACCATTTACTAGGGAAAGTAACATCTACAATGGATAACATATTCCTATACTCAAGAGGGATGCTACTTCGTTAACAGTCAAAAGCGTATCAACATCCAGTATACCCCCCCCCCCCCCCCCCCCCCCTCTCCTCCCTTTGGCTGCTTTCATAGTCCGCTGGCCGGCTCGCTCGCGCGCTCGCGGGTCAGCCGGCAGACTATGAAAGCAGCCTTTCCTTGTCAAAACCCTTACACAATGAATTTTATATGTGACGCGCGGTTGGAGACGTCTAGGGATGATGAAGTAGCCCTCATATGCGTGACTACAGGGCTGTGGTCAACCGAAATCTGCTTCGCTGAGCCAGCCGTTTGTGCGTCGAGCCTCCAAGGAGTTCCATAGCCCAGGGATGTACCCTACCATAGATATCCCCAGAGAATACTTGAATCGGTCACTTGTCGCTGTCGGGGCAATCTCTCCTATAGTAACCCAAATAAGTACTATTTATAAATGAAAATTATTACCGAAACGTCCGTCTCGGCTCCAGCAAGTTCTTCAGCCGTATAACGAGGATTACCATCTTCATCGAACATATGCATGGTTTTGATATAGTTGCACAGAGTGTTCACTTCAGCAACCTGTTCCAAAGTGACCAAACCGCGTGCCCTTCTTTCCTCTGAAGAAACATTTTGAATCATAAATTCGATAATGAGCATATCCGGAACAGTGTTAGAGCACTGACTGGGAACGGTTCCTACCCGAAGAACCGATGAGTAAAGGGCGAAGGGCAATAGACGACAATGTCGGAGCCGATCGATAAGCCCTGTGATCGGTAAACCACTGGACCCATGCCCGGACTTTATGCTTTCGAGAAGTTCATGACCGTACTGCTCCGCTCTTTTCAGTACATCAAGTGACGACAACTCTACAGTGGTAGCATGCAGTTTGTACGAAGAACGAGATGTGAATCTGAACCGGCCCGTTTGAGCGCCTCGAAGGTGCGAAGTTCTGCATAGGCCGCATGCGCTATCGGCCACGTGACATATCGATCGGCGCCGGCGTCCGCCGCCCAGCGCCTCCTCCCTCTTGCTCGACAGGCGAAGCGGAGTATGAAGAGAACCACTGGGAACATAGTATTACCTTGAAGTACAAGCGGATGGTTGCATTTCTCAAAGCATGCAATGTATGTCTACAGGCGTAAGAAATCATTACCTATGCTGAACTACTGTCATTTACTGAAGGGTTTAAGCGAAAATTTTGTGAAGGGAGGATCTGTGAAGGTAAGATCATCGAATTATTAAAGCGAAAAGAGTGGTCCCTGTCATGGAAGAAAAGCGAACGGCCCATGGTGTTACAACCAGCTGTGATCGGCTGATGCGATTGGTTATTCCGAACCTAATGAACCCCTAAACCATCTACATGACGACTTCGTCCATCAGCCTTGAACCACCTTTAGTGAATTTACTACAAATGAGCACACTAGCACCAAAACCCAGACATCTTCACAACAGGCATCCCCCTACCTTTTCTGAAAACAACCAAACTCCTGGGGACAACGCAACTTTAGCAATACGTTGCCGCACCATTGTGTATAGCCCAAAAATCCGAGAAATTGTTTTTTTGGTAAATGAAATGGACTACTTGCTTATGCCCGCGCGGTGCATGTGATTGGAGCTTACTAATACTTTACCAACCAGAACCATGCAACCAACCCTGCCCAGTTCTAAACAAAACTGTAAAGTAGCTTTTCGCCCATAACGAGATTGCATCATCATGCGCATTGATATCGATTAGATATGCAGTGGCATAGAAAGCTTACCTATCAAATTGCCACCTCTATTGGGAAACTAGAAAATAAATTATCTGAAACAATCGAAGTGAACTCACCAAGTTCGCGGACAATTTCCACTATATTGTTCAACTCCTCTGCATGGCACTTTTCCCATTCGAGTAACTGCTCCCAAGTTTCCTTAACTTCATTGAGTAATTCGGCAAATTCCTGCTCAATTATCATGAGTATCCTAAAATAAGGAGGCACTGTATCAAACTTACTTTAGCAGGGAGCATCTTCCTCTTCAGGATGTAAATAAAGCACGACCAGAATGAAGAACGGCACAAACGAACAATGAAATGAACAGAGAAAGAGAGTCAGGAATGTTCTCGAACAATCATTCAAAACGAGGCGCGCAACGGTAAGTGGGTCCTGGGGTGGTTTGTATTACTGTACGCTGCCAGAAGTGTGCACCATTTACCCGTCAGCGAATAAAGGGCTAGGTGACCAACTCATGACGCCAACTATTCGGAGATACTGTCAGAAATATGCAAACTAGTTAAATAACCAATGACAGATATAGATTCAGAAATGTCCAATGGAATGAGAATGCCGTTTCCAAGCTGCTGTTAGAGATGGACCCGTTTAGGAATTAGGTAAGCAGTAGTGTGGACAAAGCAAAAGAGTGAGAATTTGAGTGGCACATGCATGAGATGATAATTGACTGCTACTCGCTGTTCCGGAAACATCATCTCCCGTCATTGCCTTTATGAGAGTTCTTAGCTTAACGTGTTCAATCTCTGAAGTTCTACGGATTTTGTTTTCAGATTTTTGCATATAAAAAGGGTCCTCACTAAACAACCACGTGGTCTGTTGGCAGTGCGGCTCCTAGGGTGTGTGCCATTAGGTCAGCACGCGACAGCAAGCACAGCTCACGCCGCATGCTCGACGTGAGAACTGGGCGCAAACGACTCACTCTGCCGCGCGAATCAGTCGCATACTTACATCGCGACACGATTTGTACCACTCCGCACGATTCAGATGTAGTAGTACTATATTGCGCAGTGAGAGCAGAAAACGTGTAACTCCATGTTTATCATTCTCTTGGGTCAAAGCAGACCAAATTTGAATTCCCTCCAATCCCTGCTACAGTACATCCCGAGCAACGATTCTGATGGTCAAATTCATTGTTGCATTTAGGTAAAATCCAATTATTTTAGTGTAAGAAAAGTACTAATAGGGGTACTATCTAATTAATTACAATCACCTACCACTGATATCATCGAAAAAAAAGTTGCTCAGCAATTGGAAGCAGTATAAGCTTTAAAAAAATTCTCTCGAAAATTTGCAATATCGGTTCATGCGTAAGCAGGGCACCGATATTTTTTGGAACAGAGCCAACGACTCCTGCCAAATCTCTCCTTCCAAAAGTAGAGCCATGCAACGGCTACGTATGGGAAATGGTTTCGATCAACCGCCTCAAGCATCTTCTGAACTTTACTGTTTCAGTGTAAAGCACCAATTTGTTAGACTCACCACCTTAAATTCTATCCCTGGTCCATATCTCCATGCTCGAGGAAAAAAGGTGAGAGGATTACGAAAAATCATCAAATTTTACTACCGGACCTGTTTAGCTAGAACCCATGTCTACCTTTTTGGAACGTGTTCCACAACAACACAGATAAGCCGAACCTGAACCTTCTACCACCGAAAAGAAGGAAATCCATCCTCCAACACTGCTGTAGGGAGGGGCAGTCAGGGATGTTTTTTCACAATGTGGGTGAATGCCAGCCCAGCCCTACCTTTGGTCAACTTTTCTAACAACTTTTTACAGGAAAAACATTTATTCAGTAAGAGATCCAATTGACAAATCATGACAGTGAAGATAGCACTTCAAAACAGAAACTTGAAAAAACAACAAAACAATAGCTGGTGGATTATAGGTACTGAGAACAAGAAGAATTATCTACGCATGCTGATGGTCACCGGCATTATTACGACACGGTTTTACAGAAAAAAATTGCATTCAACGAGAAAAAAGAATTTCGGCAGTATTCGAGGTAGCGGCATAGGAATAGATATTATAAATGTACGAAATGAAGAATTATGTTCAATTTCAGAGGAGATGTAAGGTGTATAATAAAAAGTATTTTAAAAAATATTCATGAGAGCAAAACCATTGAGAACATTTGAAAAATATTACAACGGCTTTGCAGGTACTTATTTCACCCACCTACCGACAAAACAGTAACAACTGACCACCGCTCTAAAAAATCTATACGAGATATATGCTCTAAAAACAATTTTACACATGCCAATAATACTATTTAGAGAGCTTTAACAATATACTTCTATAAACAAGTTTAGCGGTAGTTTCACTACTACACAAAAAAAAGGCAAGAAACAAAAAAATTCAATTCACATAGAGAGAGAGAGAGAGAGAGAGAGAGAGAGATGAACACTTAGTAGTAGTTCCATGTACGGCTTTCTATGAACCTCGGCATGATTACATTTCTGAGTTTGTTGTTGTCTTGAACTCTTCACGAGGTTTTTAAATGACAGAGATATATCGATGATTGCTTCATAGTCTGTGCGACACAGGAAGAAGTAGATGTGTGTTTCGGCCTACTTAATTCACAATCAGAGCACATCAAGTTAACACGGGAGAAACCGACCGGAAATTGGCTTCCTTTCTTAAACGTTCAAGTGAGGCTACAGGGTGATATGATTGTTACGAAGTGGTACAGAAAGCCTAGCAATAAGAACATCATTGTCCATTATCACTCAGCTCATCCTTTCTACGT